TTTTGAGTGATCTGGACGTTTGCCCCACATATTTAGTTGGACAGTCAGCACAAGATATTTTATAAATCAAATTGTTTTTATCCATCATTTTTATGGGATCTTTTAGTTGATTTATTTTATTTTTGATTAGATTTGTCGGTTTAAAGGTTGTTCGAATACCGATATTTTTGAGGTTTCTTTGTATTGCCTCTGATGTACCATTTTTATATGGTATTACGACTGTTTTTCTCCATTCTTCCATCTTATTATTCTCCAGTTTTACCCTATTTTTTCTCTTTTTTATATTATCCTTTATAAATTCTTTAGGGTAGTTGTTTTCGAGTAACATTGTGAATAGAACTTTTATTTCTTTACGCTGGTCCTCTGGTGCTGTTGTAAGTCTACGTATTCTATCTGCAAGACCCTGTATTAATCCTCGTTTTACCGAGAGTGGATGAGCTGAGTAATAGTCAAGGAATCTTCCAGAATGTGTGGCTTTTCTATATATCGTTGTTTTTATGCTACCATCTGTCATTCTTTGTAGCTTGCAATCTAACATGGGTAGTTCTCCAATTTCATTCTCTAATTCCATAGTAAATTTTATTGAGTCGACGTGTTTGTTTATGTGTGATAAAAGTTTCTCAGCATCGTTTTTTTTCACTATTACTAGCGTGTCGTCTACATATCTCCACCAACATTTTAGTGATGATCTGAATGGTTTAAGGGCATTCTCCTCCCAATAATCCATGAAAATGTCAGCTATAATTGGTGAGATAGGCGATCCCATGGCTACTCCCTCATTTTGTTGGTATATTTTTCCTTCGAATGTGAAATATGTTGTTGTCAGACAGAATTCTATCCCTTTTATTATTTCTTCTACGGATAACTGTGTTCTGTCTTTCAGGCCATTATCTTCATTTAGTTTCTCTTTCAGTGCAATCATGGCCATTTGAATGGGTATTTTCGTGTAAAGACTGTTTACATCAAAGCTAACTAGTATTTCTTCCTCCTCTATTTTAGTGGTTTTTATTCGCCTCACTAATTCAAATGAATCTACTATTCTAGCTTTTGAGTTGTTTCTTGTCGGTCTTAGTATTGTCGAGAGAAATCTGGATAGCATATACGTTGGTGTGTTTCTGAAGTCTACAATCGGTCTTATTGGATATCCCTCTTTATGCAATTTTATCTTACCATATATCCTAGGTACATTACAGGATTTTGGCATAATTTCAAACCATTTTGACTTACCGATTACTTCTTTCATTTGTCTAACTACCTTTGCTGTTTCTTTCATTGTTTTGTTGATGATCGTTTCAGCTGATTTAGTCATTATGGTATAGGGTCCAGATTGTAGATGTTCATTCATCTTTTGATTATATGTTGTTTTGTTAAGTAATACTGTTGTGTTTCCTTTGTCTGCTTGAGTAATGACAATGGATTTGTCTGCTTTTATGTCTTGAAGTGCTTTTAGTTCCTCTTTCGTTATATTTGGTTTTTCTGCTTTTTGCTTTTTCAATGTAAGTGCACATTGTGCTCGTACCAGTTCAGCTTTTTGCTTGTCATATCCTTCGAGTGCTGTTTCAATTGCAGGTATGATGTCTTCAGGTTTTAATCTTTTGTTGCTGATATTGAAGTTCATCCCTTTCATCAATACACTTTCCTCTGCTTCTGTTAACTTTCTGTCTGACAAGTTTACAATCCAATTGGCTTTAGTTACTTGTCTGTCATTCGGAGTTTTCGCTATCATGAGTTTATTAAATTTTTTGATTTGTTTCTGCTTTGTTTTTTCATAAGTAGTTTCTTTTCGTTTTTGTGCAACTTGTAGTATGCTTTCATACTTTTCTTTTTCGATTACTTCTTTCAATTTTTCTTTTATTTCATTAATATCTTTCCTTATCGTGAATAGCTTTTGTATAATTCCACGTAGGTTTTCTTTGATGCATACTTTTGAGGCATGTGTGAGCGCTGCATTTGCTTTATCAGTAGATATTGGTGATTTTAATTTCATGTATACAGGAATAATTCCATTTTTAAGGCATCTGATGTTGAAAATTCGATGGTTCATAAATCGAGATTCAGCTTGATATAAATGTGTGAGTTTGTTGGCCAGTCTTTTAATGGGAAGACCGTCAGTTGAATTAATATCAGTAAAAAGTTTGAGCATTGTGGATTAGATTAAATAAAGTATAATTATATTTGAATAGTTTACACACAATGATAAGTTTTGTTATTGGTAATATTTCGAGCAAAATTACTGCCCGTGTTCACACCACTGTTGGAATTGTTTTATTCACACATTTATGATTTGTATTCACATATATAGTTCATTATTATTATTTTGTTCATTCATGTTTTGTGTGTGCATATGTGTGTTCAGAATTATACTCCACATTCATTCATGTGTTTGTATTTAGAATTATATTCCAAGTTGTTGATAGTTGTACTGAGTCACCCTTGTTACATGTATCCGGTGTGGCTTTAATGAATATCGATTCTGTTATGAGTCTTTCTTTCCATTTGTTCATGTTTGTTTTTAGAATACATACATTGTCCCAATCGATATTGTGGTTTTTGTCCCATGCATGTGCAGCTATGGATGAATTTTTTTCAAGATTTTTGTAAGCTTTTGTCCCTGTTGGTTGACCTTTAGTTAGGCGTTTATGTTCATTCACTCTTATTTTGAGTGATCTGGACGTTTGCCCCACATATTTAGTTGGACAGTCAGCACAAGATATTTTATAAATCAAATTGTTTTTATCCATCATTTTTATGGGATCTTTTAGTTGATTTATTTTATTTTTGATTAGATTTGTCGGTTTAAAGGTTGTTCGAATACCGATATTTTTGAGGTTTCTTTGTATTGCCTCTGATGTACCATTTTTATATGGTATTACGACTGTTTTTCTCCATTCTTCCATCTTATTATTCTCCAGTTTTACCCTATTTTTTCTCTTTTTTATATTATCCTTTATAAATTCTTTAGGGTAGTTGTTTTCGAGTAACATTGTGAATAGAACTTTTATTTCTTTACGCTGGTCCTCTGGTGCTGTTGTAAGTCTACGTATTCTATCTGCAAGACCCTGTATTAATCCTCGTTTTACCGAGAGTGGATGAGCTGAGTAATAGTCAAGGAATCTTCCAGAATGTGTGGCTTTTCTATATATCGTTGTTTTTATGCTACCATCTGTCATTCTTTGTAGCTTGCAATCTAACATGGGTAGTTCTCCAATTTCATTCTCTAATTCCATAGTAAATTTTATTGAGTCGACGTGTTTGTTTATGTGTGATAAAAGTTTCTCAGCATCGTTTTTTTTCACTATTACTAGCGTGTCGTCTACATATCTCCACCAACATTTTAGTGATGATCTGAATGGTTTAAGGGCATTCTCCTCCCAATAATCCATGAAAATGTCAGCTATAATTGGTGAGATAGGCGATCCCATGGCTACTCCCTCATTTTGTTGGTATATTTTTCCTTCGAATGTGAAATATGTTGTTGTCAGACAGAATTCTATCCCTTTTATTATTTCTTCTACTGATAACTGTGTTCTGTCTTTCAGGCCATTATCTTCATTTAGTTTCTCTTTCAGGACTGTCCAACTAAATATGTGGGGCAAACGTCCAGATCACTCAAAATAAGAGTGAATGAACATAAACGCCTAACTAAAGGTCAACCAACAGGGACAAAAGCTTACAAAAATCTTGAAAAAAATTCATCCATAGCTGCACATGCATGGGAAAAAAACCACAATATCGATTGGGACAATGTATGTATTCTAAAAACAAACATGAACAAATGGAAAGAAAGACTCATAACAGAATCGATATTCATTAAAGCCACACCGGATACATGTAACAAGGGTGACTCAGTACAACTATCAACAACTTGGAATATAATTCTAAATACAAACACATGAATGAATGTGGAGTATAATTCTGAACACACATATGCACACACAAAACATGAATGAACAAAATAATAATAATGAACTATATATGTGAATACAAATCATAAATGTGTGAATAAAACAATTCCAACAGTGGTGTGAACACGGGCAGTAATTTTGCTCGAAATATTACCAATAACAAAACTTATCATTGTGTGTAAACTATTCAAATATAATTATACTTTATTTAATCTAATCCACAATGCTCAAACTTTTTACTGATATTAATTCAACTGACGGTCTTCCCATTAAAAGACTGGCCAACAAACTCACACATTTATATCAAGCTGAATCTCGATTTATGAACCATCGAATTTTCAACATCAGATGCCTTAAAAATGGAATTATTCCTGTATACATGAAATTAAAATCACCAATATCTACTGATAAAGCAAATGCAGCGCTCACACATGCCTCGAAAGTATGCATCAAAGAAAACCTACGTGGAATTATACAAAAGCTATTCACGATAAGGAAAGATATTAATGAAATAAAAGAAAAATTGAAAGAAGTAATCGAAAAAGAAAAGTATGAAAGCATACTACAAGTTGCACAAAAACGAAAAGAAACTACTTATGAAAAAACAAAGCAGAAACAAATCAAAAAATTTAATAAACTCATGATAGCGAAAACTCCGAATGACAGACAAGTAACTAAAGCCAATTGGATTCTAAACTTGTCAGACAGAAAGTTAACAGAAGCAGAGGAAAGTGTATTAATGAAAGGGATGAACTTCAATATCAGCAACAAAAGATTAAAACCTGAAGACATCATACCTGCAATTGAAACAGCACTCGAAGGATATGACAAGCAAAAAGCTGAACTGGTACGAGCACAATGTGCACTTACATTGAAAAAGCAAAAAGCAGAAAAACCAAATATAACGAAAGAGGAACTAAAAGCACTTCAAGACATAAAAGCAGACAAATCCATTGTCATTACTCAAGCAGACAAAGGAAACACGACAGTATTACTTAACAAAACAACATATAATCAAAAGATGAATGAACATCTACAATCTGGACCCTATACCATAATGACTAAATCAGCTGAAACGATCATCAACAAAACAATGAAAGAAACAGCAAAGGTAGTTAGACAAATGAAAGAAGTAATCGGTAAGTCAAAATGGTTTGAAATTATGCCAAAATCCTGTAATGTACCTAGGATATATGGTAAGATAAAATTGCATAAAGAGGGATATCCAATAAGACCGATTGTAGACTTCAGAAACACACCAACGTATATGCTATCCAGATTTCTCTCGACAATACTAAGACCGACAAGAAACAACTCAAAAGCTAGAATAGTAGATTCATTTGAATTAGTGAGGCGAATAAAAACCACTAAAATAGAGGAGGAAGAAATACTAGTTAGCTTTGATGTAAACAGTCTTTACACGAAAATACCCATTCAAATGGCCATGATTGCACTGAAAGAGAAACTAAATGAAGATAATGGCCTGAAAGACAGAACACAGTTATCAGTAGAAGAAATAATAAAAGGGATAGAATTCTGTCTGACAACAACATATTTCACATTCGAAGGAAAAATATACCAACAAAATGAGGGAGTAGCCATGGGATCGCCTATCTCACCAATTATAGCTGACATTTTCATGGATTATTGGGAGGAGAATGCCCTTAAACCATTCAGATCATCACTAAAATGTTGGTGGAGATATGTAGACGACACGCTAGTAATAGTGAAAAAAAACGATGCTGAGAAACTTTTATCACACATAAACAAACACGTCGACTCAATAAAATTTACTATGGAATTAGAGAATGAAATTGGAGAACTACCCATGTTAGATTGCAAGCTACAAAGAATGACAGATGGTAGCATAAAAACAACGATATATAGAAAAGCCACACATTCTGGAAGATTCCTTGACTATTACTCAGCTCATCCACTCTCGGTAAAACGAGGATTAATACAGGGTCTTGCAGATAGAATACGTAGACTTACAACAGCACCAGAGGACCAGCGTAAAGAAATAAAAGTTCTATTCACAATGTTACTCGAAAACAACTACCCTAAAGAATTTATAAAGGATAATATAAAAAAGAGAAAAAATAGGGTAAAACTGGAGAATAATAAGATGGAAGAATGGAGAAAAACAGTCGTAATACCATATAAAAATGGTACATCAGAGGCAATACAAAGAAACCTCAAAAATATCGGTATTCGAACAACCTTTAAACCGACAAATCTAATCAAAAATAAAATAAATCAACTAAAAGATCCCATAAAAATGATGGATAAAAACAATTTGATTTATAAAATATCTTGTGCTGACTGTCCAACTAAATATGTGGGGCAAACGTCCAGATCACTCAAAATAAGAGTGAATGAACATAAACGCCTAACTAAAGGTCAACCAACAGGGACAAAAGCTTACAAAAATCTTGAAAAAAATTCATCCATAGCTGCACATGCATGGGACAAAAACCACAATATCGATTGGGACAATGTATGTATTCTAAAAACAAACATGAACAAATGGAAAGAAAGACTCATAACAGAATCGATATTCATTAAAGCCACACCGGATACATGTAACAAGGGTGACTCAGTACAACTATCAACAACTTGGAATATAATTCTAAATACAAACACATGAATGAATGTGGAGTATAATTCTGAACACACATATGCACACACAAAACATGAATGAACAAAATAATAATAATGAACTATATATGTGAATACAAATCATAAATGTGTGAATAAAACAATTCCAACAGTGGTGTGAACACGGGCAGTAATTTTGCTCGAAATATTACCAATAACAAAACTTATCATTGTGTGTAAACTATTCAAATATAATTATACTTTATTTAATCTAATCCACAATGCTCAAACTTTTTACTGATATTAATTCAATTGACGGTCTTCCCATTAAAAGACTGGCCAACAAACTCACACATTTATATCAAGCTGAATCTCGATTTATGAACCATCGAATTTTCAACATCAGATGCCTTAAAAATGGAATTATTCCTGTATACATGAAATTAAAATCACCAATATCTACTGATAAAGCAAATGCAGCGCTCACACATGCCTCGAAAGTATGCATCAAAGAAAACCTACGTGGAATTATACAAAAGCTATTCACGATAAGGAAAGATATTAATGAAATAAAAGAAAAATTGAAAGAAGTAATCGAAAAAGAAAAGTATGAAAGCATACTACAAGTTGCACAAAAACGAAAAGAAACTACTTATGAAAAAACAAAGCAGAAACAAATCAAAAAATTTAATAAACTCATGATAGCGAAAACTCCGAATGACAGACAAGTAACTAAAGCCAATTGGATTCTAAACTTGTCAGACAGAAAGTTAACAGAAGCAGAGGAAAGTGTATTAATGAAAGGGATGAACTTCAATATCAGCAACAAAAGATTAAAACCTGAAGACATCATACCTGCAATTGAAACAGCACTCGAAGGATATGACAAGCAAAAAGCTGAACTGGTACGAGCACAATGTGCACTTACATTGAAAAAGCAAAAAGCAGAAAAACCAAATATAACGAAAGAGGAACTAAAAGCACTTCAAGACATAAAAGCAGACAAATCCATTGTCATTACTCAAGCAGACAAAGGAAACACGACAGTATTACTTAACAAAACAACATATAATCAAAAGATGAATGAACATCTACAATCTGGACCCTATACCATAATGACTAAATCAGCTGAAACGATCATCAACAAAACAATGAAAGAAACAGCAAAGGTAGTTAGACAAATGAAAGAAGTAATCGGTAAGTCAAAATGGTTTGAAATTATGCCAAAATCCTGTAATGTACCTAGGATATATGGTAAGATAAAATTGCATAAAGAGGGATATCCAATAAGACCGATTGTAGACTTCAGAAACACACCAACGTATATGCTATCCAGATTTCTCTCGACAATACTAAGACCGACAAGAAACAACTCAAAAGCTAGAATAGTAGATTCATTTGAATTAGTGAGGCGAATAAAAACCACTAAAATAGAGGAGGAAGAAATACTAGTTAGCTTTGATGTAAACAGTCTTTACACGAAAATACCCATTCAAATGGCCATGATTGCACTGAAAGAGAAACTAAATGAAGATAATGGCCTGAAAGACAGAACACAGTTATCAGTAGAAGAAATAATAAAAGGGATAGAATTCTGTCTGACAACAACATATTTCACATTCGAAGGAAAAATATACCAACAAAATGAGGGAGTAGCCATGGGATCGCCTATCTCACCAATTATAGCTGACATTTTCATGGATTATTGGGAGGAGAATGCCCTTAAACCATTCAGATCATCACTAAAATGTTGGTGGAGATATGTAGACGACACGCTAGTAATAGTGAAAAAAAACGATGCTGAGAAACTTTTATCACACATAAACAAACACGTCGACTCAATAAAATTTACTATGGAATTAGAGAATGAAATTGGAGAACTACCCATGTTAGATTGCAAGCTACAAAGAATGACAGATGGTAGCATAAAAACAACGATATATAGAAAAGCCACACATTCTGGAAGATTCCTTGACTATTACTCAGCTCATCCACTCTCGGTAAAACGAGGATTAATACAGGGTCTTGCAGATAGAATACGTAGACTTACAACAGCACCAGAGGACCAGCGTAAAGAAATAAAAGTTCTATTCACAATGTTACTCGAAAACAACTACCCTAAAGAATTTATAAAGGATAATATAAAAAAGAGAAAAAATAGGGTAAAACTGGAGAATAATAAGATGGAAGAATGGAGAAAAACAGTCGTAATACCATATAAAAATGGTACATCAGAGGCAATACAAAGAAACCTCAAAAATATCGGTATTCGAACAACCTTTAAACCGACAAATCTAATCAAAAATAAAATAAATCAACTAAAAGATCCCATAAAAATGATGGATAAAAACAATTTGATTTATAAAATATCTTGTGCTGACTGTCCAACTAAATATGTGGGGCAAACGTCCAGATCACTCAAAATAAGAGTGAATGAACATAAACGCCTAACTAAAGGTCAACCAACAGGGACAAAAGCTTACAAAAATCTTGAAAAAAATTCATCCATAGCTGCACATGCATGGGACAAAAACCACAATATCGATTGGGACAATGTATGTATTCTAAAAACAAACATGAACAAATGGAAAGAAAGACTCATAACAGAATCGATATTCATTAAAGCCACACCGGATACATGTAACAAGGGTGACTCAGTACAACTATCAACAACTTGGAATATAATTCTAAATACAAACACATGAATGAATGTAGAGTATAATTCTGAACACACATATGCACACACAAAACATGAATGAACGGAGTATAATTCTGAACACACATATGCACACACAAAACATGAATGAACAAAATAATAATAATGAACTATATATGTGAATACAAATCATAAATGTGTGAATAAAACAATTCCAACAGTGGTGTGAACACGGGCAGTAATTTTGCTCGAAATATTACCAATAACAAAACTTATCATTGTGTGTAAACTATTCAAATATAATTATACTTTATTTAATCTAATCCACAATGCTCAAACTTTTTACTGATATTAATCATATGAAGTTCAATTAAAACTAAAATGTTTGTGATTATAATCGTAGTTAAATGTCAAGTGGCAAAGCAGATTAATGTCATATATAGAATAATTCATAGGAGGGATAGAACTTGAAAAAGGATGTGCAATTATAGGATTAGTAGGCAAATCGAATAAAACAAAAACGTTACGTAATATTGTGTGAAATTTAATAGCATAGAATTTATCGTTGTAAAAAAGAATTGATTTAGAATGACAAGTGGAACAAGTGAAATAATACCGGGGACAGTTCAAAGTGAGAATAGTAATAATAACAATTGACTTAATAAGGAAAAGTATACAAATTGAATAGACAAAATGAAAAATGAAAAATTGGTAGAGCTAAAATATGATTGGGGATTACCATATTTTAGCATAGAGGAATTAAGACCATGAAAGTTGGAGGGGTTGAACGAACTTTTTCTGTACACAGAGATCTGGCTTTTCTGTTTCGATAGCCAAAGCTTCAGCAATACAGATGAGTCGGGTACGTAGGGATTTAGGTAGATTGCTCTTTGCCTTGTAGATGACTTTAAAGGCGGAGGCTATAGAGATAGGGTGATCATTTTCGACCAGATGTTCTATGATCGCGCTTCTTATTGCTCCACTTCCACCTTTTCGTAGCCATGCAGGATAATGTTCTTGCACCCTCTTGGACAAAACTCGAGTCGAACGACCGATATACCTAGCTCCACAAGAGCAGGTGAATTGATAAACGCACATAGAGTTGGTCAACATTGGGATCTTGTCCTTCAGGTTATTGAACAATAATGGTCGGCTAGTAAAAGCTATTCTCAGGGAGGCAGCAGGGAATGTTCTTTTCAGGGACTGTGATATCCTTCGTTTCATGATATCGGAAGCTAAGTCCCCTTTGAATTCTAAGCTCATGTAAAGTATTTTCTTGGGAGCGGTTGATAAGTCACGTTTTGTAGGCTTTGAATCTATATTCTTATCTATAAAACGTGGTGGAAATCCATTTTCCATTAGGATTTTCCTCAAAGTGTATAACTCATCTTCCACAGTATCAGTGCTACATATGCGCCGAATACGAGTGGCAAGCGACCGGACCAGGTTTCGTTTACGACCAATAGGTACCCAGCTATAGAAATTTGTCAGTTGACCATTCCATAACAGCCTACGATAAATCGATCTCTTCAGAGTTCCATCGGTCCTTCTTGATAAGTTCACATCGAGGAAATGAATGCTAGACTCGTTCTCCTTTTCGAGTGTGAATTTTATCGCAGGATGGCACTCATTAAATACACTTAATATATTATTCAGGTCACAATCAATATTACAAATAATAAAGGTGTCATCTACATACCTTTTATATATTTGAAAGCTTTGGATCATAGGCTTCAGGGAACCATTTTCTAGACTGGACATAAAAACGTCTGCAAGGAGAGGACCCAAGGGAGAACCCATCGCAATACCATCCTTCTGCCTGTAGATTGTTTCATTGAAAGTAAACTGTACATTCAATGTACATCTCAAAAGTAGTTCTTTAAGATCTGTAGTAGGTATCCCTATGTTCAATTTGTTGTCTTCAATATATTTGCATATAAAACATATGGTCTCTGTCAGTGGAACGTTCGTAAATAAGGATTCTACATCCAAAGACAACATTTGTTTATTCGACGCATTTATATCCTGTATACATTCAACAAATTGGAAGGTGTCCCGAAGGGAATGATTAGATAGTTGCCCCCTGACTGGTTCGAGGATTTCAGCTAACCACCCAGCTACTGGATGATAGGGCGATCCAGACATATCCAAGATAGGGCGAAGTGGAACTCCAGCTTTGTGTATTTTCGGTAGACCATACAGTCTTGGTATTAGAGATCCTGTTGGTCTGATCTTTTCGTATAATTCTTCACGAATGAGATGATTGTTCTTCATTCTCTTTAAAGTATCAGTAAGTTGTTTCTCAATTAATTCCGTCTTGTTTTTCTCGTTCGGTTTCGAGAATTTACTGCTGTCTGAAAGTAGACATGACATTTTATCGATATAATCTTTTCGATCCATAATAACAACACCTGTACCCTTGTCAGGGCGTGTTAATAGTATATCGCTGTTATGCGTCAAAAGCTTAAGTTCTTCTTTGTGCTGTTTAGTAAGAAGACTTTGCATTTTTGATCTAGCATTAAGGTATTGATTGCAGGAGTCCGTAATGGTAGATTTGAAGCATTGGAAATCCTGGTCTGACGATGGTGTGAGATCATAGGTTTGACTGAGTAAATTCTCAAACTGGACATGAGTATGTAGCTTGTTGATATTGAGATTAACATCGCAAAACTTCGAGCCCATAGACAAGGCTTCCATTTGTAATTTCGATAAAGATATAGAGGAGTGGTTGAACACGTATCTCTCCGAATTCTCAGGAAATTTTCGAAGACGTTCGATAGGTTTTAGGCTATTAGATAGCTTCGAATTAAAAGACATAGTTTGTTTGTTGGTGACCACATTGACATAATCATTAAACGTCTGACGTTCATCAACCGATAAGTCATATAGAGCAGAAGATCTTTGTGATATATTCCTTTCTAGCTCAGGGATACGTGAACTGATAGAATCAATGTGATTCAATGCGTGTCTCTTGAGAGATTTTGCATTAGGATATATGTGATTGCGTCGGAGCACTTTCCAATACCATTTCGGATACTCATGATTATTGATGCATTCATTAAGAAAACAAATCTCTGCATTCACCACGGCATTCACACCTAAGATTCAATTCCCTCACCGGATATAACTTTTGATAAACCATATATATACGACTGTACAGCTTGACGATAAATTCGTTGAAAAGAGTCTCTTCGCTGAATCACTTATTTTGATTTTCTAAATGTTACAATGGGAATTTTCCATGATAATGTAATATTTCTCAGATCAACCCAGCCTAAGGTATATATATGTAATGTAAGAGTGTCTGAATTTTCCCCAGGTCATATAAATAGTCATATCTAAGCTCGACTATGTTTATATATTGCATATGATTCTCCGTCTGACACTAACTACTTTCAAACTCAATGACAAATATTCTATTTTTGAACCCTACAGATAATTACAAACATGCAAAACTAAACGTGGGCATTTATAATCACCGTGTTGTACGTTTTTGATCGACTGAAGTAAATTTCACTTCCAAGTAGTACCATATTGTCGTGATGTCTGTGTTACTTCAGATTTCCTTTTACAGAATTGAATTCTTCTGAGTAAAACTTTTTACTATTTCCAGACATAACGTGTCGCAACAACCCCCTGAAATCACTTTATACGGTATGTTGTTTGTTTATGAGATAATTTTAACTGCAGCATCCTAAGGTTTCATGACATTATGAAAGAGTCAGATTGTATGTTATTGGTATTTATAGTACGAAGTGAATAATTCTGAGTCATTCACAAATGACTATGAAACTAATAACAGCAGTTGTAAGAGACCATGATATGAATCCAGTTGTTTCAGCTGTAGACTCTCAAATGTCTACGGCATCAATTTATGATATTTTTTTTAAAATCTAAACAATAAGCATTGTAGCAGAATGAATGAGGAGATTATATTTCGCCTTTTTTTCATCAACT